TTCTGGACTAATTGGAGTCTTCGAACACTCTTCAAGGGCAGCCCCTTGAAGAATTATTAGAATTATTAGAATTATTTTTCCATGTATACTCTTCTTAGAATATTACAGGACTGTGCAGCATTAGGATAAAAAAAGATGGTCAACCTAGAATTTCATTATTCATTCTGGTCTCATCAGACTGCATTACCCTTCTCTCGAAGGATGACCCAATGGGTCACAGCACAGCTTAATGTTTTCTAATGTCTCTGCTAACAAGCTGCAAGGACAATTTCCTTGCTAAAGACAGTGTACCGGAGGAATGAGCAGAAAAGCAAGCCTCAGTCGTGTACTTTTTTTTTAATGAACGTGAGAACTCCCTGTAAATATATGTACATATATGCAAAGGGACTTAGATATGATTGATTTAGGATTAATTACACAATAGAGCTTTTATACAGAAAACTTCAAGCATAGTCCAAGCCTCCCATTTATTAACAAAGTTACTGATCATTTTTAACCATGTATTTATTTTTAGGAAACAAAACAGGGAGACTAGTCTTCCCCATCCCAGATACAGATGTGGTTGAGAAACTGAAATGTACAGTTCCAACATATTTGAAAGAAGCCAGGATTGAGAAGCTGATTAAAAACCACAACTGCCTATTTTGCTTAATAGCAGCTTTCTGAAAATTTCAATTATTTTTCCCAGACTCACCTTAACAAATCTAGAATAGAGCAATTGTTAAAATACTTTCAGGGTGGAAAAAAATAAAAATTCTTTCTTAAATACCAAAGGTACTCAGAGACATAATGCAAACTATTAGAAATTTGACTTTTATGTGTTACAATAGCCAATTATATTGCTCAGTGCCACTTCTTAATATATTTTAATGGGTGCACCTGCTAAGGCATCTATTGCAAGGTTTTATCGGGGAGCAGAACTGCAAGCAGATCAGCAAAGCCACCCTTGTTATTTATAAGGAAGCCTTTGGTCTTCATCAATTTCCATACCTAGAAGCACCTTCCATACCAACATCCGGTACATGGATGGGAGAGGGAACCTTTGACTAAATGTGCAAAGCTTCTCAATATCTGTAAATAAAGATACAAAAACATTGTTTAACAATGTTATGAGGCAGCTCTAATCAATACTCACACTGGAACCCTGGCACTAGAACAAAAGGGTCCTCAGAGAATATTCCCCTCTGCTGACACTACTTATCTCCTGTTTACAATGCAGTCCTTTCAGCAGTCCCAAGATGGTTCCACACTCACTTGCATTCTGATTCAGGTGACTCTGAGGACACAGATGAGTTTCCAAAACCAGAATATTAATAACTGCCTAGTTGCAGAAAGTATGGATCCCTTCCACCCCCCATCCCCTATTAGTTAGAATTGAAGAAGCTTCTTGTATGAGAAGCAAACAAGAAAAATCAGAAAGTCCAATTGCCTTTAAAATAAATCCACCTTTGAGACCAGAAGGCAGGATAAGAAACAATGGATGGAAACTAATCAAGGGGAGAATCAACCTAGAACTAAGGAGAAATTTCTTGACAGTGAAAACAATTAACCAGTGGAACAGCTTGCCTTCAAAAATTATGGGTGATCCATCACTGGAGGTTTTTAGGACACTGGACAGCCATTTATCCAGAATGCTTTAGGGTCTCCTGCTTGGGTAGGGGGGATGGATGAGAAGACCTCCAAGATCCCTTCCAACTATGTTGTTCTGATACAAGGACATCATTCTGGACCAACTAAAGCTTCCAAATTCTCAACGGCAGCCCCATGTAGAGCATATTACAGCAGTCCAATCAAAAGGTGACTTATCCTCATCTACCATTCTTACTTCCAGCAGAAGACAGATTTAAAACGATTTGCTTCTATAAAATACTTAAGATGGAATATTTTCACAGGCTGAAAATGGAGGAGAGAAAAAACATATTTCTCATTCCTCGTTTCTATCTTGCTATAATAACATTTCGGGTTTTGGTGAAAATGGATATTCAGTTGTCAAAGAAATTCAGAATCCAGAGAGTAATTCAGAAAGACAAAAAAGGTACTGTATTTTTCGGACTATAAGACACACCAGTGTATAAGATGCACCAAGATTTTGAAGAAGGAAGGAAGGAAAAAAAAGTTTTTGCCTTCTCTCAGCCCCCAGTAGCATTCTGTAGGCTTCAGCAGGGCTGGGCAAGGCAAAAACAGGGGCATTTTTGCCTTGTCCCAGCCCTGTTGAAGCTGCTGGGGGCTGAGGGAAGGCAAACAAGCCTCCATTTTTGTGAAAAAC